CACAGACCCCTCAGAAGGCAGATATTTACTCAGGGGCTGTGTTAGTACCTTGCTAAAGAGCACTGCTTTGTGGGTGTTTATGCAGTGAACATGGCACATGAATATTTTAACAGAAAGAAGTCCTTTTTCAACTTGTAGAATGTGAATGGTGTGCCAAAGGGTGGAAAATGAGGCAGCTGTGGTGTGATTGTGGGTGAGAGGCTCTGTGTGCATGTATGGAGTGAGTGTGGATTGCTGTGTGGTCATGTGAAACCAAATTTTGCCCTAACCAAAAGAGGAGGTTAAATTGACTTAGAATGGAAAGGCATGTTTCTCCAGGGTATAGAAACCTTTCCCTGGGGAAGGTGCTCAGCTAGACCTGTCACTTGCAAACAGGGAAGAGGTGGCAGCAGATGTGGTCTGGGGCAGGAGGCTGAAGGCCAGAAAGCAGTGAGCAAAGTGAGTAGGGATTAGAACCCTGTAATACATAGGCACAGGTGCTTGTCTTGTGCAGGGATCTGCTTGGCAGGATCAGATGGAAGGTGGGTCTGAACTGCAGAGGAGCTCTGCAGAGCTGGGTGGTCTTCAGCAGTCACCTCTCAAGGCATAAGCATGGCTCACTGACATGCAGACACCCAGGGTGTGCAGGGTGCCTGGCTGGGCTCAGCTGTGTCAGGCAGCAGCGAGGGGAAGGTGAGGGAAGGCAGGAGCAGGAGCTGTGCCCTCCGTGTGATTCCTCCTCCCCCTGCCCTCCGTGATGTGGGAGGGCAGGGGGAGGAGTCAGTCCACCCTGAGACTAAATACCTGCTCAGATTGTTTGTATCTGATTCCTAACACAGTGTTCTGCTAGGTAGTGAAACAAAAGCTTTTGGTTCAGAGTCGTAGTGCGGCTGACATGGAGCTCATGGGATAGGGAATATGGAGCAAAAAGAACACATCCATGTTTGGGATTTCACAGCACAGCAGCAAGGCTGTTCCTCAAACTAACAGCAAACCAGCTGAGCTCGTTTTCTGCTGGAGGCATCTGGCACAGCAAGGGTTCTGCCTTGATTGATGCTCCACAAACAAGTGCTTAGGGAACAAGAAGCCTTGAAGAGGGCTGAATTGATAAACTCCTAGGAAAAAGGATAAATCAGTTACCCACTGTGAACCCAGCAGAGAAATGTTCTCTCCTGGCTGTGGTTGTATTTAAATTCCAGGAGCTCTTGCACTTTATGACACTGCACACCAAAAGTGCATGTGTAGTTTACATCTTTAGGCAAGAAGATTTCAGCTATAAACTTGACGGCCTTGGTAGAGGGAAAACATAAAAGGCATTGATTGAATTCTTTGGTCATAAACTATTCTAAGTAACTTCTTACTTGTAGACCAAGGGTTATGGACCTAAGTACAAAAGAGCTGATGATTTAAGTAGCAGTAATCTGAGATGGGTAATTGGAAGCAACAGTGGAGAATAAGAAGTGGTTATTTTTTCTAGGTATCGTCTCTTTCCTAGTGTGAAAGTGATTATTTCAGTCCCACAAGATCTAGTGAAAAAATGGTTGTAGTGTCAGTGAGGATTTGAGCATTTCTTTCAAAAGAAGCTGACTTAGTCTTAAGGATTTTCCAGCGTTAAGGAACAGTAGAACACATCTCAATGTTCCATTTGCCTTTAACAGTTACTTTCAGACTGTGAAAGCACCATTACCAATTCATCTGAGCTAGACCAGCCCCAGCCTCCCCCCGAGCCTGCTCTGGTCTGAGCTGAGTTTGCAGCGTTGCCTGCAGTGTCAGCACCTCAAAGCACCAGAGAGACATGCCCAAGAGTTTAAAGGCCATACTCCTAAATCCTGTGCATATTTACATTTACATGCCTTTTCTGAGGCCAAGTCAAAGTTGAGATGCTAAAGTGTGTAGATCAAGCCCCATGTTAATCCTAGAGTCATCAAGGCTGGAGGAGACCTGTAAGATCATCGAGTCCAAACATTGACCTGTCACTGCTGGAACCCCCAAACCCTAACCCAGATCCTCCAGTGCCACATCAGACACCTCTGAAACACCTCCAGGGATGGTGACTGCACCACCTCCCTGGGCAATATCCCAGTGCTGAACACCACAACAGGCAAAACATTTCTCCTCACACCCAATCTGACTCTGCCCTGGCTCAGCTCAAGGCCATTCCCTCTCTCCTCTCCCTCAGCCCTGGCAGGACACACATCCCACACCTCTCTCCAGCCCTGGCAGGAGTTGCAGAGAGCCAGGAGGTCACCCCTGAGCCTCTTCTCCAGGCTGACCAACCCAACTCCCTCAGCCCTTGCCCATATGACATGTTCTAGGCCTTTGATGAACCTCCTCTGTGCAGCCTGCTGTGTGCCTGAAGGAAAAGTAAATCCTCAAGTCACTGTCCATGTGGAAGCAGTGAGGGAAATCACTGGGAGCTCTCTTGTTCCACGTGCTTCATGAATTTCCCATCCCAGCTCTGGGCCTGTGTAAAATGGGTATGTCTTTATTGGCCTCAGTTTCCTTCTGAAGTGTTTGGGTTTCATCAAGCTGAAGGAAAAGCCCATGATGAGGAAATACTTCTGAGGGTTTTCCCAAGTTGTTTCCTTCTCTCGGTGCTCTAGTCTAGAATGCTCTGTAATCTAGGGTTTCTCTTTTTAAGGATGTGAAGCACTTGTGGAGCTGTGAAGGGTCAGGAGGGAGGTTATGATGAGCTGCCTTGAGTGCCAACATGCTCCCAGGCATAAGTGGCCTGTCCCTGAGGAGCTGGGAGCAGCCTGCTGTGACCAGGCTGAGGATGGGCACAAGGCCATCTGGGACTGCAGTGGGCACAGGCTGCTGTGGAACACGGGGGGGTCGTGAGTGGCTTTGTTCTGTGTGAAGAGACCTGACAGAGCAGCAGGTCAGGGTCAGTCAGAGCAGTTCAGCTGCTGTCTGCGTTCGTGAGTAATGACCACGAGCGTCGCAACGAGCAATGTGTATCACAATCAAGTGTATTACACTGTTCCCCACCACAGGCTCCAGCAGTTTGCTGCCTGAGGGTGTCTGAGCCAGAGCACAACCTGTATCTGTGTAATTATAAGATCTTCCTTCATTGATTGATTGATTGAATTGGTGTAATTGTGCCATTTGGAATAGAACTGTACACTTGGACGTTTTCCTTGGCAAATTTGTCCTTCAGCAAAAAAAAAGAATATCAGGCATCTTCAGAGTTTTAAAGTTTAAGTGAACTTTGCAGGAGAAAAAGCTTTTCCAGTATTCTGTCACATGTATTGGTGCCAATAAAATACGTGAGAGTAGCAAATAATGTAACTTGAGGTAATGAGATCCAGAAGACATTCAGAAGACTTTGTTAGAAGGAGATGAAGAATCTTGGGAAGGAGTATGTGTTGTGGCAGGTTAATGGTTGGACTTGGTCTTAGAGGTCTCGTCCAGCCTTGATGATGCTATGGTTCTGTGTCATCCTCCCCTGAAATCTGCGCGAGTGACTCTCCCCGTTTGTTCCAACGAGGCAGAGGTAACGAGGGTGGGGTGTTGGGCACTGATGCTGCAGGTGAGAGACAGCTTCCATGAGTTAAACCAGTAAGATTGGGCACTAGAGCTCTTCAAACAAGCTGAAGGAATTAGACTGCAATAGTCAACCATGGTAGCTCTCCGTGAAGGGTGTCCCATCCTTTTGTCAGGGGTAAGTTCCTAGGGCAGCAGTGAATTTCTGCAGAAGGAACTCAGCTCCTCCAGTCACCCAGGGAGCAGCACAGCATTTCCACCTCTGCCTGGTGGTTATCCCTTGAGCAAAGCCAGTGACCAGCTCTAAGTGACTGCCTGTTCTTTGCTCTGGTGTTTATTAGCCTTACCACTTTCTTTTCTCTACCCATTTTGACTTCTCTAGTACTGAGGGAGCCAAGTGAATTTCTGCAGAAGGAACTCAGCTCCTCCAGTCACCCAGGGAGCAGCACAGCATTTCCACCTCTGCCTGGTGGTTATCCCTTGAGCAAAGCCAGTGACCAGCTCTAAGTGACTGCCTGTTCTTTGCTCTGGTGTTTATTAGCCTTACCACTTTCTTTTCTCTACCCATTTTGACTTCTCTAGTACTGAGGGAGCCAATCCAGCTGAAGGCCCAGGCAGCCTGAATTACACAGCACTCCAAGGAAACAGATTATACTTTCCACTTGCACAGCAGACTACTTGAGCTAAGAGCTTCTGTCTCTGTGGAAAGCTCTCTGGTGTGTGTCCACTTGAGCCTGGGAAACAATCTGGTGAGAGTCACCCCGTGAAGAGAGGTGGAGTGTCCATAATACACCAGCTCTGTCCCTGGGGTTCCTCTGCCATGGCAGGCTGGAGTGACTGCAGCTTGGTGCTCAGGGATCAGCTCAACAGTGAGTTCGAGTCACTCAAGACTGCTGCAAATTAATGTGTTCATGGTCATCTTTGTTTTGCAAAGCCTACATAAAAATGGAGCAAAAGGGGAAACTCACAATAATTCCAAAGGAATAACTCAAACACTTATACATCCTTGTCATTTTAAGCCATCCCAAATTAGCACTTCATCATTAATCAACCTGCGTGAGGGGAAATAATCAGTGCAAGTACTGCCAGTTCAGTGATTTGGCATCACCTCCGTGGAAAGGATCTGCTGGAGAATTATTCCACATTCCTTTCTTGTGGATTTTTTCCAGTCATGTAATTGCTGTTCATCTTTCTGTGTTATTTATTTCTCTCCCTTTATTATCCTGTAAAGTAAATATCATCAATTTCAGTCGGAAGTTTTCTGGCTTGTTCAAGAAAACACCAATAACTTTCTAATGTGTTTTCAAAACAAATTTTTAGCTCCTGATGCTGGAAACAACTGTCGTGTAGCTTTCCAGAAGTGCCTTGGACATCCAGAAATGCACTGTTGTCAGGGATATCCAGGGTGCTCAGTCACGCAGAGTTCTCGAAGGCAGGCTGAGAAATGGCAGTGTGTAGTTAAATTGCACATTTGCATGCAGCGTGTGCAGGTAAGTTGAATGTTAGAGACACAGAAGTATCTCTCAGTAGGGGTCCATCAGACAGAGCTGCACTTCGTTCAGGAGTCAGTCCAACCATAGCTGCACCTCGGTGAAGGACTTGAGCTATCCCGGATCTTCTGGCAGGTTTGTGGTGTAAGGAATTTAATTGTAGCCACCTGCCAAAGATGTTTTGTTGTGCATTATTTTAGCAGTTCTGTCCATGTGTTTTGAAGGGGCAGATTGCTCCCAGGAAGGGAAGGCTAAGTGCTGTGTCTGTGCTGACTTAAGGAGCTGTCTGAGTGCTAACAAAAACCTTAATAACAACAAAAAAACCCCACCAAAAAACCAAATCAAAAAAACCTACACTGACAGAAAGATCCCCACAAACCAAATCAAAGAACCCACACTGACAGAAAGGTCCCCACACTGAGCCATCTGAAGCTCCACTGCCCTCTTGGGTAGGCACTGCTGAGGCTTAGTCAGGTGTAGCTCTCAAACTCCTTTGCCTTTGGGCCCTTCAGAACAGCAAACTGCTCTGCAGATGGGCAACCCACAGCTCTCCTGTTGCCCCTGTCCCTTGGTAATCAGGCTGTATCTCTCCATGCATCCATCTCCTGGGAAACAGTTCTGAGAGGAGTAGTGTCTGCTCATGCTGAGTGGGGAAAAATGTGTAGAGTCTTTCTAGAAATATCTCTGTAAGCTTCTTCTGAAGTCAGAGCAGAAGATTTGCTTGATACAAGGAGAAAAACGTTTCTGGTGGAGAGACCTGACCCGTGGAGTATTTGCTTAGTTGAGAAATTCTGTGGTGAGATCGATACTGAGCCACATAACTTGTTTTCTCTGTTTTGCAGGGAGTGACAATGCAATTATGTCTCCGAGAAGAATTTACACAGTGGATCTTCCTCCGGAGGGTTATGTTGCAGCTACTGCAGGCACTGTTGGCAGTGCAGTTTCTGAAAGCTCCGGCAGCAGCGCTGACTCAACAGGTGAGGCTCTGGTTGTTAGTGTGATGGATTTTCCTCAAGAGAAGCTGCTTAGCTGCTCTTCCTCGACAGATTGAGGCTGCAGCAGCTGGGTATCGAGACTGCTGCTGCCAGAGGGTGTCACTGTTTTGCAGCATAAGCAGGATGAGGATGTCCATCCCTGTGGGCTCATTCCCATCCTCACCTGTGCCAGGCCCAGCACTCGGGTACACCGTGCAGTGACACTGCAGCTGTGGGAAGAGGCACTGAGGACAACGTCCTTAGCTTCTCTGGTGCAAGTGGCACATGGATGCTCATGTTGCTCCTGCCTGCAGTCATTTTTCTTAGTAAATACCAGGTAAAGCTGTTCTGGCAGCTCTTGCTCTGTGCTTTCTGAGCAGTTCAGTAAAGGCTTCACAGCCTTTCAGATTTGCCTCTCCCATTCATCTACTTGAAGTTCCCTGGGGGGAGATACCAATCCTCTCGTGCCGAGAGGCTTTCTGATGAGAGGCTGTGAGCAGGTAACCTCAGAACCCATGTCTGCTGTGGGGGACGAGGAGCAGCACGGGACCTGTGGGGTGGGCTCTGAGTTAACCTCACTGTTTCTGAGTGACACGGCCAGAACTGAACACACTGTCTCTAGAGAGAAGTCCTAAGCTTAGGCAAGAGAAATTGGTTTAGTTTTTCCCATGGCTGTGTTCAGGTGGGTGTTTGTCCACAACTCTGTGTCCCTGCCAGATGCTGCTGTGGGCATCCTGCAGCAGGTGAAATACCCAGGTGAGGCAGCTGGAGCAAACCACCTGCTAAGCAGCAGTTACTTAACTGCTGTGTCTGTCTGAGCCTGGAGACTGCCCAAACGCCAGGCAGGCCTGAGAGAACCTGCAGAGACAGAAAGGCACGTGCTGCTTGCCTTTGCCAGCAGTGTACCCATGGGGGGAATTCAGCCTGGGCATTGGTGCTGAGCTCCATCCAGAGTCTGAGTGCAAGGAAAGCTGTCAGAGCAGCTCCAGAGACTGAAGAATCACAGCACACCTGGTGGCACAGCAAGGCTGTTCTCCCGTGGCGTGCAGTGCTTTAGAGGCATTTCTTGACTGAGCAAGGAGTAACTTTATCAATACAAGAGTAACCTTGATGCTTCCTGAGTTATGAATGGGAAGGTGTTCTGCTGTACTTCTCCCTGTTCCATAGGCTGCACATTCAGCATCCAGAATTTTCTGGGCTGCCCCGAAAGGTGCTGAGTTGCAGAGCTGTCCCTGCACAGCTCACTGGGTCTCTGTGTCCCAGCACCTCAGGGTCAAGCTGCTTATTCTGACCTTGGAGCACCACTTCCCTCCCTCCCTCCATGCCTTGTCATCTCTGCTTATTTCTGATGTGCTTTCCTCTCGGATACTGGAGGGACACTTCCCCTCTCTGTTCTTCTGATAAAACTAAATGAATTCTCATAATCCTTTGGAGGTAAATGAACCTATAACATGGCACTTTGTACAGGGCCTTGGGTTGCTTTTGGATCAAACCTGCAAGCCCAGCCCTCTGGACACTGCTGCACTGAGCTGTGTCCTTGTGAAGGCATCAGTGTGGCACTTTTGTGGCAGATTTGCTCAGCTGCTGTTTGAAGTCTGTGAGTGAATGAGATGATGTGTGGTGCCCATCAGATGCTGGTATGCTGCATAGCAGTTCCGCAGGACAGAATTTAGGAGTGTGCCATCTCAGTGGGCAGAAGATTGAACAGTGGCTTTGCTCGATCATTTTTTAGAGTGAATCTTTTCCATTAGTGTTTCAAACCAACTTACTCAGCTGTGGTGGCAATGAGTGGAGCTCTGGTGTTGCTTAGTGACAGTATTGACTGTTGGATGGAGATCTCTCTGCACTGATCCCAATTTCAGTCCTGAGGAAGGGAAAGCTTTGGATTCCAGCCACATCTTTTAGCAGTTAACAAATGGATCTGGAATTTTGGGAGACTAATTTTTGGATTCGTTGTTATTTGACTTTGCAGTTTATCATGGAATCAAGAAAAACTAAGGGAAGGTTTTCAATCTATGATTCCCTTTGCATGGTAGATCGGACTCTAAATGTCATTCTTGCCAGGTATTTGCCTAATGTTTTCTTAACACCCTTCTCATGGGGAGATTTTTTCTTCCATGCCCTTTTGCACTTGCTCTAGTGTTTCTCTGCCCTTTAATCCTAGATCTGTCCTGCTGCAGCTTAAGACTCTTATCGTTTTTGTCGGAACACACATTGCAGAGTTGGAATACTGCATCAAATGTGTGCTTGAATTTTGGAACCAGTTGCAGTGAGAAGAGCCACGAACAGAGATGTTGGACAGCTGTAGCTGAAGAATTCTGTATTTCAGATGTCTTCTCCTTGAGTGTCCTTTTGGCAGACTTTGTGTTTGTTGGTGGATGCAGTGACATTCCTTAACAGATAAAATCACCGCAGTTTTCTCTCTGAAATTGGATGAGATTAAATAAGTATTTTTATTTTCAGGGTTCAGATGAAATATTTAATCTTTTCTTATCTCTGGATTAACTTACCAAGGAATAAAGGTCTAGGTGCAGCAGTGTCTGTATTTGCACTGACACTGCTATGGATCAGCTTCATCACTGGAGTTAAATTGTAGGTTGAGAAAGACATAAACAACTTCTCTAATGTTGATTTGGAAAACTTTTGAATCCTTTTCTATCAGAACAGAAGTTTCCTCTTTCAGGTGGAGACCTGATTTGAGAGTCATCCAGAACTGTAGTCATGTGCTTAGCGTTATGGTGCTGACTGTCAAGGATTGGGGGTATGCCTGGAGGGTGTCCCTGTGCTGCAGAGGCTGAGGGGTGTCCTAGGTGTGGTGCAAACCCTCGAGGTAGGTGCAGTGTGGGAGCTGACCTCTGCAGGCTGCCGTGTCCTGCAGCAGTGCCACGGGCACTTCAGCCAGAGCTAGAGCCATCACCTCCCAATTTCACAGCAAACAGGTCGGGACCTCTTGAAGGTGAGAGTGAAATTCACCCCGAAATTCCCTGATTTCAGACACTGGGCTGGGCCATCAGTTTGAGCTGTAGGTGTGAGGTTTACATACAGTGCAGAAACGTTTCTAATTGCCTCTGTCTGTAACTGTTCACGTGTTCCAAACACCACCTGGGGCTGTGCAGAGCACATGGTGTGACTTGGGAGTCTCTAATGTCACTGGAGCCTTTTGGGAGTCTCGTGTGGGAGTTTCTAACATTGAGATGTTGCCAGACACCCAAAAAACCAAAACCAAACCTCACACACAAACCCCAAAACACTCTGGAAAATGGGTTTGGAAGTGGAATGGCAAAGAATTCTGCCCCAGATTTGTGTGTGGTGTTAGGAAAGGATGTAAATGCTGAACACCTATTAAAGGGGAAAAAAGGTAGTGATTACCTAGTGGTAATGCTTTCCTTTAGTCATGGCTGCATGTTACTGGCTTGCCAAGCTTTGATTTCTATGCCTAGCTGTAAGTAAGTCCATGCATAGATGCTGTGTTGGGTTCTGCCTGCTTCTCAGAAAGGCCCAAGTAGCTGAACAACAGAAACACAGCCTTGGAACCCGTTCCCAGGTGCTCCTGTGGTGCAGCAGCCACCCTGCCCCTGGTGCTGGGTTATGCCTTCCCCTTGTGCCAGAGGGCTGGACCCAGAGGGGAGACTTGCCAGCGAGTGTTTGATGTTTACCTTCACTTTGTGGTGGTTCTTGCTCTCCAGCAATTCTTACTCCTCTGTGATGCAATCAATGTCTCAGGCTGAATCTCCTTCTCTTGCTCCTTGTTTGTGTCTGAGTCTGAAAGTGATTCCATTACAGTAGTTTGGCTGGTCAGGTGACAGTATGTGTAGCAGGAGGAGAAGGAATTAGGCCTTTATCTCTGTGACACGTTTTTCATGCTTTTTGTTTTATTTTAAACTAGCATAATGACATTTTTGCTGAGCTCTTCTCGTCTAGCAGATGAGCCTGAGGGAATGAAGAGGCACTGTGGCCTTCTGTTTTCTCCACTCTCCTGGTTGTCATCCTCCTCTTGCTCCTCACCCACCGAGTTACTTCTCCCCTCAGTTCCCCCTGTCCTCCCTGGCACCTGCTACAGGCTTCCCGTTGTCATGGTGACAGCAAGGAGCTGATGGGGAAGGGAGAGAACAAGAGAACATCACCAGCAACCACCCTAGATCCCAGCTAAACCCAACCCTGCCATTGCTGCCTCACTTGGGCACACACGCAACGCTTTGGCAATCTGCCCCTGCCTGACTGCTTCCACCTCCTTGTTTCCTGATGAGAACACAGCCAGGCCCTGAGCCTTTGTGCTCAAGCCATCGTGGAGCAGCAGGATGCAGTCAGGAGGGTGCTGGCTTGAGGAGTTACAGCGTGGCCTGTGGCTCCAGGACTTCATTGCTCTGGATCTCGGTCCATCACCCGTGAGAGCAGCAGAGTTGTTCCGTAGGCCCTGGAGAGGTGCTTGGTCACTGACAGGATATTTCCCTGCTGGCTCTCAGCTGTGCAGTGGGTTGTGTGTGAAATCAGGGTGCCCACACTTCACTGTGGCCTGTGGACCTGCCAGAGCTGAACCCCAGGTGTGCCTGGAGGAGGCTCTGCTTCCGTGGGCCTGGCAGGTATCACCTCCCTGGGCTGAGGAGAACGTGTCCTGCTCCTTGTCTGCCAGAGAAAGGAGGGCTTGACTGCTCCTTCAGTACTGCTGCCCTCAGTGCCTGGGTGAGCCCTGCGGAGAGGGAAGTGTTAACTTGTGCCTGTTACAGCTCCTTAAGAAACAAAAACACAGCCTTAGGGTGAATGGGGAGACTTAGGCAATAAACCAGTGACGCAGCTCAGGATCCACCTTTAATCTTGTTCTTTCTCGCCAGCTTTTCTCCTGAAAAAAGGCCAGATTTTCTTGGTGTCTCCTTTGTAGCACTTGCCAATGGAAGCCTTAATTTACCTCCATCGCTAACTGTCTCTTGGGCTTTTTCTGTTTATTTGGGGCACTTTTGTTTCCCCACATGTTTTCTGATGCCTTTTTTTCTCTTTTCCTCTCTGCT